AGTAATAAGATAGGGGGAGCCAACTCCCCCTGTTCAAACAAGTGCATCCAAGCAATGTCCGGGAAAAAAATTCGCCGCACCGCTGTCAGCCGTTTATTACAGCTGCGCTATATCTTGTGTTCTACAGTGCAAAAAAAGAAGAAAAGTGTAGAGGTAAATAATCAATCTTCCAACTACCGCATTGCGCCACTCCGACCGTCTCGGAATATCACGGTTCACCTCATGCTCCTGGCTATGGCATCCTGCGTAGAATGCAGAGTGCACGCATCGTGGTGAGGGGGGGTATGATACAATATAACAAGCACGACGACGCTCCTCAAGATGAATACCACGCAAAATACGTTAGGGGAGATCTATTAGACCAGTGTTAAGCTTCTTGAATTTTATGTATCCAACTCCACTTATTAATTAAATTAATTTATTGAGACGAGATAGCTATAACCTTATCTCCCTCCGCACCGGCAGTTGGTCGGCATGAGGCACTATGCCGTAATTGCACAGTACTGTACTGTACTCCTCTCCAACTCTCAAGTTAGGCTATGTGATTATCAACACAGTTCACGAATTAACACCCCAAGCAACAGTTTATTCTGCACAGCGGACAGCAATACCTCCTCATCACGAGAATAATGTCTCCCGAGCTGTGTACCGTACGCGGCCCGAGACACTACAAACCTATACTCGCGTTGATTCACAATAGCTTATTCAGCCTGCCCTCCTCCCTAATTCGGTTGGAATGGCTTCAGTAAGCGATAATAAGCAATGCCTATTACTGCATTAGGTATAATGACGCCCAGAAAGTACCTGACCATGCTAGCCTGGGCCATGTTACCTTTGTAGCGGTGTTGTTCTGTAGGCCGATGCCCAGAACCTCCACGGCTCGCAGCAACGATCCTCCCTACACCCCCCCTCCCCGCAGACGGCAGTATCGACACCTCCTCTCCTCCCCGCACCGAACCGTAAGTCCGCCCGAGGGTAGCTTGATTCCCAGACTATAGAGAATTTTCTACTTCTGGCCTCCGAACCCTTTATCTTGGGCTACCATACTGAAGTCCTCCCTCGCCGCGACAGACCAAACGAGCGAAAAGACATCATAGGAATAGAATCTGCCTTATCTAATCACTCGCTTTCCATTATTTCCTTCCCCCTTCCCACAACGTACCCATTCCTTCAATATCCGCCCCACTATATCCGCGCCGATTTTCTCCACAGCTTGCAGCCTTCTCGCGAACTATGATAAAACTCCGATATTCTATCATACTTCCTATCATACAGATTCTCGATTTTCCCTATCCGCGTTTTACTCGTTCAACGGTTCCCCATACGATACCGGTGTTGAATTTCCTAATTCGTTTCATATGTATATTCTCCTTGATAATATCGTATATTTCTCTACTTGGTATTATTATGAACATTACTACAGCCGGAGTATGTATTACGTATATGTCATTGATATTTCATGATATGATTAGGGGATTATGGCGGGTTTTCTTATCTGGTGTTCAGGTTGATTATATTTTATTTATCCGTTCACACCATCTTAGACTTATGCATGTTTTATAAGATTTCCTTAGCAGTTCTTCAGGGTCAAACATGTTCGCACTTATGTTTTCCTACTTATGTTACGGTCAAACATATCGACACTTATGTTTTCCCTTATATATTCTCTGAGTTACTCGAAGGATGCACACCTGTATGAATAGGCGCTACCATCCATCTCACTTAAAGAGATTAAGGACAAGAACTACTACCAATCTACCTTCATACCAAAACTCCTCCTCACTTAACTTGCCTGTGGTATACTCTCTCTACTAACGTGATTCCGGGGAAGCGGATCACGACCTAGATCCGGGTCACCCATGATGGCGCAATCTGGATCAATTCTGGAGGGGGTCCTAGTACCTCTCCCGAACAACCCAAGGCCCAAATTAAACATTATAGAAGTTACAAGAACCAAAAACCATTTCGCCGTGTGTAAGAGAAGAATATTGAAACTTGAAATACCCAAAGAAGATTACCTCCACCGTAATGAATGCCCTCCCCACAGCCTAATAGTCTCCGCAGCTACTACCCCACTACTTTCCTCAATTCCATCACCACTAACCTCTAATGCTTCTATTTCCTCCTATAATGCCCCTGCCTCATTGGTAACAGGTGAGGAATCAAGGACAGGAGTCCCAGGAGTTGTAATGGGGGTGTTGGGGGTGGGAGGATTTGCCCGCTTGGGTTCTCTTTGGCGAGAATCACTTGTATGCATTTTCTGCCTCCCCACTCTTGCTGCCTTTGCAGTATCAACCTTCTCCCACTGTTCCCGCAGTTCCAGTATCATTTCTGAAGTCACTACAGTGGCTGTAGTGAGTTTCCAGCGGTCGGTAGTCCTTGCTGCTTTTTCCTTTCGCATTAATTCCCGGTAGAGCCTATGCGCCTCTTCTTCTACAACCTTATCCGCAATAGTCTGTTGAAAGCCCTCAGACAGGCCGGAAAGCAAGGTCTTCAGCTTTTGGGAGCCTGGGGTGGATCGGGTAACAAGAGAAATCGCGGTTCTTGTTGTCCTACTCACAGCACGAGGAGTTTTTGGAACTGTTGGAGTAGTTGTGGCTCTAGCAGAACTTTCTGGAAGTAAAACCCTCACTTCCCTGCGCTTCACTGCTCCCAGTACACACCGTGGATTGAAAGGTATGATTCCCACTCCCTCCCTAGCGGCCATAATATTCTGTGGAGTAAAGGTATGCCTTCTTGCGGGCATCAAAATTCTAAAGTTCTAAAATATTAATATCTTATAGCTAGTAATAAATTATTAGATAAGCTACTTACGGTAAAAATTCCCCCTTGTTTATACCAGCATGACCCTTTCGCATAAATTCATCTAACCCATTGCTATAATACCTCTGCAGTGGACTGAATAATCCTACATCCAAGGGCTGCAAAAGGTGGGTGGAATGGGCGGGGAGGCAAAATGAGATAATTCTGACATTTAAACAATAGTCAAAAAATTCCCAGTTGAAGTGTGACGTGTGACCATCTAAAATTAATAGGCGGTACTCATTGCTAGCACTAGATAATCAAACTAGTTCTTAGTATACATAGTTTGAAAAAGGCTGTACAAAGGCTTACCTCACTCGTGTTTCCTCATCAAATACTTCCTTTAACTACTTCAATCCTAGAGCTTCGTTGCTCCACCCCTTCTCCGATACCCCAAAAGTCGCAAGATCTTTTTTTTTCAACTTTGCGTACCACCCCAGGTAGTGCGCTGTACCTTTATTTATTATCATAGGTCGTAGTACCCGGCCATCCCCAGATACCACCTCTATCACGGTAACCCACTCCCGTGACCCATCCTGTGTCAACCTACCAGCCCGAGGACCCTTCTTGCATATGACCTTGCAACGCAAGGCAACACCCATCATGAACCCCTTCTCATCCATGTTGTATATATTAGAGTATGATATATTGTAGAATTTGATCAATCGTTGAAGCTATAGATATAATTAGTAGGGTAGTGCGCGGAGGTGTCGGGTAAAAATTATTGGATTATACCTTATTAAAATAATTCTTTATAACCACAGGATTATTCGCTAATGCCCGCTGGCGATCGAGCCGAGAACTTAGCTTCACTGCTAAGTCTGGGTGCCGGTTAAGAAAGCGAGTTATCCAATGCTTTCCAAGCCAGCAGTTTTTCTCCCGTCTGGCCACGATAGCTTCTGCCATACTTTTCACCACAGCCAACCTAGCCGGGTGACCCCACTCATCCAATCTCTCACACCATCGTGCAATAGATTTTTCTTCAAACTCGCTTAACACTTGCATCTTAAGATGCCCAGACACCCGAGATTGCCCTCTCCAAAGAGAATAAAGGTTGTTAAATTCTAGTGCGGGAGGGTTATGTTCCCCTCACGGATAGCAGGTATACCAGGCCCAGAGTATCATAGATCCTTACATCTCCCCACGTATTTACCAAGGATTCTCGGCAACTTGTGATCACGAATAGCGCTCCATTATTAAATGACGCGTTACCAACCGATTTCAACATTCCCGTAAACAGTCATGAATCGCAGCGGAGGATCTAGGAGCGCATATTCTATAATATAGCAACTATTTATCGCACTGGCAAGGTAGAAATCTGTAGCACCCTGCGATTAGAGATGGAATGATGGGTAGTGATTGGGGAGGGCAATGAAGAAACCAAGAAATCACGATCTGATGGTGGACCTAGCGGGTTGTCGGTGATCTACCTATTCGCAGAGTAATACTTACCATACCCAACCTTAAACCTTTCTAGGATCATGCCCGGTATCCTACGCGGTAATGATCCTCGGCGCCGGTAATTATATATGGTGCTGGGGGTGCCATGAGTGGCCTAATATTCATGACTTATTATAGGGCAACACTGATCAGGAGCTCATGGTCAGCCCGCAAGCTGGGCACCAAGAGTCTTCTCGAGCACCACAGCAACCAGGCTCACGGGAATATAGTCGAAAAATTAACCCAATTATTTGCAAACAAATCAAGTAATATTCCGTGAATACACATCAGACTCAAATCTACACTGCCTGTCCCTCTACGATTCCCCCAGCCGCGCTCCTGAGTGCCTCTTGCTGTTTCTCCCGCCTCGCAGCATTCATCTCCTCCTCGGTATCGTTATAGCGCCTGAAAAGTACCCAGAACGCGATGCCTGCGACGGCAGTTGCAATGCTCAATCCCGAGAACGTCCGCACGAGTTTGGGGTGCGCGCTTGTCGGCGGGACGGCAGTACCCGGGGCAGATCTGACAGCATTAACCAGGAGAAACAATGACATTATGAAAGACTTCATGTTTGTCGGCGCCTTTGTGTGGGGCCATCCGAGACCTCCTACTCTACCCTTGACCCTAATTCATCACGTTTCAAAATAGTAGGGTGCAGGAGTGGTGTTGTGATAAAAATGTGTAACATTTAAGCATGATATTTGACTCCAGCGGGACCCGCACAACATCTTTGTAGAGGCCTAGGAGTGATGAGTGGTTGGAAAATTAATTAAACAAGAATGAGAACGACCATTCATCATTCCCCAACAGCATTTCTTTGTTTGCGCCACCTAATATTCATAAAAAAACACAGAAAATACAGGAGCAGACGGGATTCTAACCCAACAAGGCAGGTCCCCAGCCGGAACAAGAGAGGCAGTGAGAATACAACAATCACATCTCAACCTACCCACCCCAGCAAATCAAGCTTCTGCAGGCGGGTCCGGCGTTGCAGAGGAGAGGTTGTTCAAAGACTCCCAGCTGGGAAATCTCATGACACTCCGGATCTGCTATTCATTTGTATATAATCTCCGCCATGTCTCCGCGTTTGCCGAGCCAATTTGTAGCCAGACTCGTTGATACATGGCATGACGCAGGGTACTCTATCTCTCTCCCAGCGTGTAGGAACAAAAAGCAAAAAAGTAAAATCCTTCTTGCCATATAGTCTAATTGGGCATTAACCTCCATCTAGAAGTTCCTAGATCATATACATCGTTTGTATCATGAAACCCCCAAGCACCCCAAAAAGAATCATTAACACTACCCCCCTACGCGCGGGACCCCGAGGAGAATATTATGCCGCCGGAAAACTTATCAACGTTCGGAACAGCCACGCAGGGGATCGAAAACCGAAAATCAAGCAATAACCGAACAAGAAACAAGTAACGCCGGGATGAAATACCGCCAAGATTAGTGTACAACGCTTACTGAAGGTTTCGGGGGAGGCGGGGGGGGGGAGGAAGAAAAGGAATAACTTCCATGTAATTCAACTGAAAGGAGACATCAAACTAGAGCTGACATGGGAGTAGGTGCGACGATAGTGGGCGTGGTTAGGGGAAATGTTGGCGGGTTAGTAGTAGGCGAGCTCTTGGTGTCTATAAAGATTCTCGATACTGAGAGGAGTTCGGCTACAACGATCGACGGAGCCGGGGTTAATGTCAGCGTCGCTTAGCAGGATCCCCACTGCTGCTCCGTGGCCACCCCCAGTAGCTCGGTGGAGCGGTGTTCGGCCATCTCAACTGGCACAGTTGGAGTTGACAACGTTGTGGCCTGATATTATCCCCACCACACCTCCATGGCCATCTGCAGAAGCTTCGTAGAATGATATCTGGTCAAGCAGATCGGCAGAGTTGGGGTTGAGATCGGGGTGGCTTAGTAGCATCCTTACTACTCCTTCATGGCCATTTCTAGAAGCTTCGTGGAGTGGTGTGTGGCCACCCCTATCGGCAGAGTTGGGGTTGACACCGGTGTGGTTTAGTAGCACCCGTGCTGCTCCTTCATGGCCCTTTGCAGAAGCTGCGTGGAGTGGTGTGTGGCCACCCCTATCGGCAGAGTTGGGGTTGACATCGGTGTGGTTTAGTAGCACCCGTGCTACTCCTTCATAGCCATTTGCAGAAGCTGTGTGGAGTGGCGTCCAGCCACCCCCATCGGCAGAGCTGGGGCTGACATCGGCGCGCCTTAGTAGTATACTTACTACTCCTTCATGGCCATTCCCAGAAGCTTGGTGGAGTGGTGTTTGGCCATCCCAATCGGCAGAGTTGGGGTTGACATCGGCGCAGCTAATCAGGATCCTTACAACTCCTTCATTCCCCCTTCTCGCAGCCAAAATCAGAGGTGTTCGGCCCCACTTATCAACCTGGTTTAAGTCCGCCCATTTTCTGCTCACCATTGTCTCCACAAGCTTATCGATTCCAAAGTATGAAACGTAGTGTAATCCACTAAACCTCTCCGAACGAAACTGCTGCCAGAACCACGGGGCTCCTCCGTTACACAAGAAGATATTGGCCGCTGCATGTTGAGGGTATTGGTCCAGAATTCCAAGTGCAAATTGGCTTACAGACTCCGTAAGCTCTTTCCGCGCATGGGCTCCCCAGTGACAGGACGCATATCCAAGAAGCGGGAATGCAGGGGGGGCAGTTGGAAGATCTGACGGGAGCTCTCTAACGGATTGAACGCCCAGATAGCTCAAGCAAATCTCGGCGATAGTGGCATGTGGATTCTGAAATATATTTTGTTGATGACGGTACAGATATTCTTCTAAAGTAGCATGCACTAGCCGGACCGTTGATGATGCATGGTCAGTGGTGACTAGGCCCATACAAGATGCCACAACAGTCTCAATCGAGGGAACCATTTCAGTATCGATATTAGGTGATCCAACTTCCATCGCCAGAGCATGGCATAGTTCATCGATGAGCAGGGGTCGTTCTGCCAAGGAAATCCACATCAACGTCGAAATTCCAATTCCCGCGAGGGCTCCACTCTGCCCTCTTATTCTCTCTAGAGTCTCTGTGTAGGCATTGCTTAAGTCTTTAGCGGCCTCACGCAGCTTCTTCTTTCTCCCACCTATTGTGATCTCGCCCAGTATCGAATCGATCCGCAATCTGACTAGAAGGAAGCTTCGGCTAATATTCAGCTATAAGTTCTCAATGTTATTGGGCCATACGTACACTTCAGAAGATTCCTACGGAATCTTTGTCAGAATTTTGGACTTGAGGCCATCATCCATCGCTCTTGGGTATGGATCGGAGTCCAACTTTGCTACCAAGTAATTTGCGATGTCGCTAAAGAGAGGTCGCATAGCGATGATGCTCATATCGAGTGGGATGTGACCCTCCAGATCTGATTGGATATGGGCCCTTGCAGTGACAAATAGTCTAGCATTTGGTGATCGATCTAATATCTGGCGTAGGGACCGTAGAAAGGGAGCACTATATTCCGCCACAATCTCATCCAACGCATCCACACAAATGAATACTTTCTGGAAGTTTCCGAGGACGACCTGGAATAGTTCAACAGTCTTTCCAAGGTCTAGTGCACGTCCTCCAATATGGGTCTTCGCTGATCGGAAGGCCTCTTTGATCACTTCCGGAATCTCCGGTAATGCCGTCACAAACTGCCTCAAAAGACTCCCAATCATCACTTTCGCCGTTTGTTCTTTTTGACCCCGGTAATCGCAGTATAGGCAACCGACTGCAACATTCGGCCTCTGGGCCTCATCGCATAGCCTATCTATCACTAAGGAGCTATTACAAAGTCAGTAGTGATTTGAGTTTATGAAAAGTCATAGATCCTACCAAATAAAAGTCTTTCCTACCCCAGGCGCCCCACGGCAAAACAAAATCCTACCAGACGTTCGGTCGTTTCCATCCCGCCGCCATGCTTGAAACTCGCCACTTTGTAGCACCCATTCTCCTATACCTTTGACGCGAGTACCAACCACATCACTGTGTCTCTTCCATGACTCCAGCGGTGATATCCATGATAGTATCCTCAGTGCTTCGTCGCTGACAGTTGTGTGATTGTAGGTGTTATTCGAGTCTATAACATTAAAACTACCGCTGTTACCGCTCAATAGGTACCGATTGTGGCAGTTGTTCTTGGCTTTTGAACGGATGCTAGTGGTTTCGGAGATGAATCTTCCTTCTTCAAGAATGTTATTGCTGAACAGAGCGGAGCGGCAGCAGAGGGGATATGTGCAGTCAACCTCTAACGAAAGCGGGGTTCAGCTCCCTGCAGCAATGTATCCCCAAAATGGGTTTCACAAAGTGTCCCGGCTAAACCTTCCTGTGAGTGCGAAAACCCACCCTCAACGCACAGCACAGTACCAGGATAAGCACAACACCATATTCACGTTAAATGCATAATAGAATCAGAACCATTACAGGAATCGCAACCCCGATCCCAATACGGTAGCACAGTACTTCGATCTACATTACTGTACTGAACTCGAGTACTAGCAGGGAATCTGCTATATATCTAGCGGATGCGAGCTTTAGTAATAAGATAGGGGGAGCCAACTCCCCCTGTCCAAACAAGTGCGTCCAAGCGATGCCCGCGAAAAAAATTCGCCGCACCGCTGTCAGCCTTCCACTACAGCTTCACTATATTGTGTGTTCTGCAGTACAAAAAAAGACAAAAGTGTACAAGTATATAATCCATCTTCCAACTACCATATTGTTTCACCCCACCAGTTTCACAATATCCAGGTTCACCTTATAGGCCTAATTACCGCATCCACGCCAGAACGTAGAGTGCAAGCACCGTGATGAGGGGGTGGGGTATAATATAAACACGACGACGCTCGTCAAGAGGAATACCACGCATAATAACTAAGGGGAGATTTATTACACCAGCGTATTTACCAATGTATCCAACTTCACTAATCGACTAAGTCGGTTCATTGAGACGAGATAGTGATAACCTTATCTCTCCCCACACCGGTAGTTGGTCGCAATGGGGCGTGCAGCACCGGTACAGTACTCCTCTCAAACTATCAAGTACTGTGATTATCAACACAACAAATCCTGAAACTCTTGCAATCGAGAAAGTCCCTTTCGTTCATGAATTAACATCCCAAGCAATAGTTTATTCTACACAAGGAACAGCAATACCTCATCATCACAAGGATAATCTTCCTCGAACTGCATACCGTAGGCAGCCCAGGACACTACAAATCAACACACCCGTTAATTCCCAACTGCCTATTAAGCCGGTAATCCTCCCTAATTCGGTTAGACTCGCTTCATTAAGAAATATTAGGCAATGATAATCACCGCATGAGGTAAATTTATAATCACGCCCAGAGATTGCCTGATCTAGGTACCGGTAGCCTAGGCCAGGTTAACCTTGTAGCTTCATCCAAAATCCCCACAACCTTGGACCTCGAACTGCTCCCGCACTGCGACAAGTCAAGGTTTCTCGCAACATGATTATAAATATTTAGACAATCGCGGAATGAGCGCTTTTACGGGAGCTTCTAAGTTCTCGGGTTGTGGTTGTTAGGAGTTTGAGGTTGGTCACATTGGATATCGGCTGAGGTGTTTATTTGTAAATTAGAGCCCGGAACCTC